CCCCCCTCCCCGGGCCCCCGCTCCGGAAACCTCAAGGGCGCGAAACATTGGAGCCAGTTCACTCTATTCAAGCGAAATGGCGAAATGTCCTTCTTCCGAGGGACAACCTCGCTTGTACAAAGTCATCAGGATTCCCACTGCCCGATGCGGGTGTTCAGTGTTATGGGCAAAGTACTGCCTTCTCTTCTAATGAGAGGAAAAGGCTCCTTCCTCTTTGCCGGAGCCGGAGGATCTGCACCCCCCTCCCGCCCCCGCACAGCACGAGGCGACCCTCTTAGGGCACACTCTCCCTCCTCCCCTCCACCTGTGGGCTTCTCGAGATCAAACGCTCATTTTGTCCGCCTGCCCGCATGCCAGCCTGTCCCCCTCCCCCCAGCACACACATATAAAACAATGAGGTCTATTTAACAGGGATGCTGGAGATTTCTGTCTAGCGGGCAGATAGGAAAGTGATCGACTCCATTTTAAATAAATTCCTCCTAGACCAGAAAATGTCCTCAGGCCTCTATGGGAAGAGCTGCACAGTGATTCAGCGAGCAAGTCCACACACTGTGCTTGTCCGGCTCCTCTCTGTCCCCCTACACCTCTCCTTCCTATTAGAAAAACCTTACGGTTTTCTTAGCCATAAGGTGGAGGGCTAAGAGTGGTCCCTGCTTCATAGGACTGTGAGTTTTAAATGAATTAATGTACATATAAGCACTCAGAACAGTACCACACATTCTAAGCTAATACCTCTTAGCCTCCTCCCCCCGCTCCTCCTCCTCCTCCTCCTCCTTCCTGTCTCTCTCTCTCCACATCAGCAATGGGGCAGACTTTTATTTAAAAGGCTAGTGTTCAAATACTATTGCTCAAATAGCTCGGTAGATAGAAATGCAGTAATATCTCAGGGTTGTATACATAAGCACAGGAGCTGAAGGCCAGCTCACACAGGGATATTTAATCCTCTGCTGCTGGAGTAACCTCATGGATGTGTCTGGACCATACTCCCAACACACACACACACACACACACACACACACACACACACACTGCTCTTTGCCTGGCAACAGAACATGAAACATACGCTTGTTACTGAACTTGAGCAATATCACTACAGAGCACATTTGGATGGGCTTCTTCACTATCTACCTGGCCCAGTTTAAAAGATGTTTGTAGCTCTAGTTTGTACACATTTCATAGGTATTTTGAACAATAAACCATCTATTGTCCCATTATTTTTAAAATGGCAGTTCTTGGAGTGCAAACAAGGCATTAAGATATTCTCAGATGAAGCTACATTAAGGAGTACTCCTGAAAGTTAAGCAAACCTAGTTCTTTTTTACTGAAACAGTAGCATCAAGTAGAATGTCTATTGTGAAGAATAGTTTCATTTGCTTCCCCATGAAGCCAACTTTTTCTGAATTGATATAATTTTAAAACTAAGATGATAAAAAATAAAACATACACCTTAAGATACTATAATACTTGAAATAATGTCAAGTTAAACTCCTCCCCCCACATACACATAATTATGGAATGGAATAGTTCTGATCCACCCCCCCAAAAAAGGACACTGTAACAGGGTCTAAGGGAAAAATAAACCAGAACTCTGAGTATTCATAGCACTACACAGACTTGTTAGCACAGAATACCACACAAGAATGTGTCACACAGAAATATCGTGAGAGTAACTAGCTGGGGACTAACACTTTCAGCAACTGAGCTCCTAGGTAAAAAATATGTTAAAAGCTTGTAATATCAACAAGGCCCCCTTACCTCAAAAAGGAGTAAAGACTGCATGCATGGGTCTATTACAGACACGATATTCGGCAGATAAAAATAATACCCTCCACAATCCCTCAATTGGGGCGAAACCTGTTTTTCACAGCTAAACCTGCGAAAGATTAAGAGAGTGAAACAAACTCACCTGTAACTATGGCATCTCCTACATTTGAATGACAAGTATGTCCAACCTGATATGTTTAAACATTGAGAATGGAAACAAAAGGCAAAATTATGATCCTTAAAACGTGAAGAAAAAACCCCAACACATGATTTAAAGGCAAGTAGGTGTGATTCTGATTATTATTATATTATATACGACATAATCCACAGAAAGAAAGGCATCTTCATTTTGTTCGGTACTAAGGCTTGATGTTGTTCTAGGTAAAAGTGATAATTCAATGAAGGTGTCACACATGCAACTGAAAGAGCTGGGTTGTCTAGGCCCTTCTGGTTTCAAATGAATTTATTTAACAACCATCTTCCTCGACTAGCTTTTCTCCTGTGTCAAACAAACCTATATACAGGACCAGTTTAAATCCCTTCTCCCTTTCAAACACTGGATATGAGCATCCAGGAACTTCTACTACAATGCAAAGTGCCTTAAGAAAGAGAAGGGTTCTGTAGTCACTGACATAACTAATCTGAGGAGGCTGAGATGCAATTAATGCTGATGGGAGCCAGGCAGTGGTGGTTTGTTCCTCCTCAAGTTTCTCCGACAACTGCATGGTCAGTTCATGGAGGGGTTTGCAGAAAATCAAACACGTGGTGGCAGGGGATGGCACTGTCAGAGTGCACAAAGCCCCCATCTGTATCCAGGAGTGAACATTGCCCAACTTTGGCAGGGAAACCTTGAGGAGTTGGTTAACCTTGGCATTTTTTTAATTTTTATATTTTGCCTCAAAGAGTTGGGCTTCTCACCTGTAAGTAACAACCCCAATATAATGATTTTGTCCTGTGGCTGCCTTGTGTTGATAAGTTGTAGGATTCCACCTGCTACTTCTGCTATATTTTCATGGTTCCTACCCAGACAACAAAGACCAGGTTTAATATTCTCCAGTTCTCCATCTTTAGCTTCCACAAAACATGTATCTCCTTCAATTCCAAAATTCAGTGCCTGGAGTGGGGGGGGGGGTGTAGGGAAAGTTCTCGCCCTATGTTATATCACTGCATTAACTGCAGCATGGAGTCCCCCACAAACAGCACATCAGGCTCTTTGTCTTCACAGTCCAGGACAAATCTGTTGTGCTGAGTCATCCATCTGTCATCTCCTGCCTGTTTGGGTTTGAGTCTCCTTGGCTCATCCCACACTCAGGCAGAGGGTCCGTGCAGGCACAATCTGGGGGTGGTGCATCTGTCAAGCTCCTCCAGTTCAGGGATCCCCACTCCCGGGCTGAGTGCCATACCCTTTAACTCTTAACATCCATTTTGAGGATTCTCTTGCAATCTCGTGAAGCACAGAGAAGAAAGTGCTTTGAATAGAATGATCAATATTATATGAAAGGGAAGGTCAAGAAAACCTTAATCACTGAAAAGATGGTGGACATCTTCCACCTCCACCTCCACCCTCATGTTTAATGAAAAAATTAAACAGAAGTAAGAGTATCACAAGCAAAAGAAAATCCAACAAAGTCTAATTTTTCCTGTGGTTATAACTTTTACGCTTTAAAAATATGTATTTTTTAATGGATTGCGCAGGCTTTGCTGATGCCTGAAGCAATGCTTAATCTGCCTACTAGATAACCCAGCTTTCAATCTCCTGTTGACTTCTCTTTTT